CGATCCTTCATTGCAAGCAAGCAAGCAACGAACTGACTACTTAGCAAGTGAAAGTATTGCCCCATGTGTGTTTTGTATTTATTTGAATGCAACTTTACTGCCACACAATCATTTTATAAGCTCGATCACAATTCACTGAATTCATCACTTCATTTTTCAAACAGACAAAAGAAGGAAAAATGCATTTTTTTTTCAATCGTAAAAATATTATAATCACAGAAACAAAATGTAAAATAAGGAAAATATATTAATCTACAGATTTACAGAAAGAAAATTTAAAACAAAAAAAATATTTAAAGTACAGAAACAAAATATGTGAAACAAGAAAAATGTATTGAGCATCGAAACGAAAAAAATATATTAAGCACAGAGAGAGAAAATTTAAAATAAGAAAAATGTATGAAGCACTGAAACAAAATTTGAAACAAGAAAAATGTATTAATTACACATGATTGCCACAGAGCCTGGAAATTCTGGAAATCCTGGAAAACCTGGAAATAGGTATGGAATTTAGAAAAGGGTATGAAAAACCTGGAAATAGAATGGAATTTAAAAAAATTTCTGAAATTTCGCCTGTTTTTAAAGATTTTTAACAAAATTTTAATTTAAAACTGAAAAATTTTTGTGTCATCGCCATATAATTTTAATGAAATTCGTCTCAAGAATTCAATTATTTTAGCAAAAATTCAATTATGTTCAAAACTTTAAAAATATTCTCGTCAAAGTTTCAATTATCTTTATAAATAATGAATTTCTTCTTCGAAATTCAATCATTTTCAAAAAATTTAAAAATTTCTTGGCAAAATTTCAATTATTTTAAAAAATTTTCTTAAATTCTATGATTTTCAATATCTGTTATTTTAATAAAAATTTCAAAAAGAATTCAATTATTTAAAAAACTTTTTTAAAAATTCTACGAAAACATTTAATTATTTTCATAAATAATAAAAATAACACAGGAATTTAATTATTTACAAAGAATTCAATTATTTACAAATTTGATATAAATTTCTTCGCAATAATTCCATTATTTTCAAAAACTACAATTTTTAACAGATATTCAATTATTTTCATAAATAATAAAATTCAATTATTTTCATAAATAATAAACTCATCCCAGAATTTCAATTATTTTTAAATCAATTTCTTCGTAGAAATTTAATTAATTTCAAAAATTTGTAAAAATTCAATTATTTTCAATGTCTACTATTTCAATAAAATTTTCCAAAAGAATTCAATTATTTAAAAAGAAATTTTAATAAAATTCGTCTCAAGATTTCAATTATTTTCAAAAGTATTATAATTCTTCGCAGAAATCCAATTATGTTAAAAAATTTACAAAAATTCTCGTCAAAATTTCAATTATCTTTAATAAAAAATAATATTCCTCTCCGAAATTCAACTATTTTCAAAAATTATAATAAAATTCTTGGCAAAATTTCAATTATTTACAATTTTTATCAAAGTTCTGGAAAAATGAAATTATTCTTAAAAATTTTATTAAAATTTGTCAAGAGAATTAAATTATTTAAAAATTTTGTTAATAAAATTCTTTATGAAAATTCAATTTTAAGAAACATTGAATTATTTAATAAAATATTTATTTTTGTAGTTAAATAATTGAATTCTCGTAGAATTTTCTAATAAATATTGATTTGAAAATGAATTTCAGTTAAAATTTTAGATCATAATTGAATATTGAAATCATTATAGCGTGGATTTTTAGAAATAATTGAATTTTCAAAAGGTTTTAAATTAAAATCTTTGTAAATTTGAACTTTTTATACTTTTAATTAAGAATTCTGTAGAATTAATTTTTTTCAAAAAGTTTAATGGAATTTTTTTTTAATTATTTAAAGTTCTTAATTTCTAATATATTTAATTGAGAAATGTCAGAATAATCGAAATTTCATAAAATTAAATTGTAAACAAAAGAATTTGAAAATTCTCAACGAACTTTTTCAAAAATTATCAAGAAAAAATTTATTTAAATATTTATTTAAAAATGAAGTTATTGATATTTTCCAAAAAAATTTGTATTAAAAATCTGGAAGAATTTCGTTTTTTAACCTGTGGAAAATTTGGAAAAGTCAGGGAATTTGAAAAGAGCAAAAGCGTGGCAACCATGAACAGAAACAAAAAAAAATATACATATTAAGCAGAGAAGCAAAATTTACAACATAAATACAAGAAAAATACATTAAAGTAAATTACAACAAATGAATAAAAGAAAAGAAAAGAAGAATAAAATATATTCTACTCTTAAATTTTTTAATAAATAAGTAGAAAATTACTATCTTGATGGATAAAGAAAAAAGAAATAAAGATCAATTTATTTTTCGTTAGAAGAAAAATAATTTTGTCCACAGATGATAATAAATTCAATATAAAAAATGAATACTTGCCTTGGTTTTATAAAGTGCAACAAAATGGAAATTGAGAGAAAATATTGTCCTCGAGATTCTGGACGTGTCGTTAAATGAGTCAATTGAGTGAAAATGGAAAACAATTCTTTGGAAGTTACAAAAGTGAATCAAGAGTAGTCAAGAAAGAACAAATCAAAACCTCATGTGCACTTTACTTGGTTTTCTAATGGAAATCGGTGGTGCGTTTCGCATATCCTATTGCGCGCGTGTCATGCTATCAAGCTTTCTATTTGATTTCAATCGTGAAGACCGGTATTTAATTATAAACTTTTTTTCTATTTTATTTGTAACAATATTTTATTAATTTTGTAAATTAAACCCGACGATTAAATACAATTCCAAAAGGTTTAGGAATTTTAATCTCTATCATGACTCTTGTAAATTAATGAAAAAAAAATTTTATTTAAATATTTTATGTAACTAAAAATTAACAAATCGATTTTCATTAGAAAAAAAAAATCGAGTCATAATTCTTTAGTACTAATTGAAGGTGGAAGGATAATCAAGGACAATATTCCCGTTTAAAATGTAATTTTCTTCAACGTGTGGCATTCTACATTTCATAAGTAGAAGAATGCGTTGGTCACGCCTTAGATGCCTTTCATCTCCTCTGACATTATAAATGACGTACGCACAAGTATGACAGATTTTCTTCAAGCCAACTGAGAATAATTGTAAACACAAGGGGCAAATAGCACACTAACGTGTTTATCATGATCACGCACAATTTATTACAGTGTAATAAAATTATTACGCGGAAAAGTTAGTCCATTAATATACAACATGTACGTCTCTCGCAAAGAAATTATTAAGTCCCGGAATTTTATTTTCCATTTTCAAGATTCTCATACTGATATTGTTTTTTTATTTATATTTTTATTTATTAGATATTTATTTTTATTTCCATTTATTTGTTTACATAATTTTTTTTATTTGTTCACAGTTCATGTCACTCGGTTTTGGAGCAACTAATTTCTGCTTATTACGTATTTGAGAAGGCGACTTTATTTTATAAAATCAAATTCGTTTCACACTCTGGAGATTTATTTATGAAAATAAAATGGAAAGCTGCGTCTAATAATAAATTGGCACAAAACTTCCTTGAAAGATAACAAACATGTACATATCAAGATTGTCGTGAAAATGTGCCATTTATTTCCGGAGTAATTTACTGTTAACGTGTTTTAAATGGCGAGCATTTGAGCCTTGAATTCTTGTGAAAATGATTATTGCACAGATTTAACATTGCCAATGATAGTGTTAAACGGAAACGCGTATGTTACGCGACAAGAATAAAATTGAAAAGGAAGGCAAACACTGCCCATTGAAAGAAGAAGAAGAAGAAGAAGAAGAAGAATAAGAAGAAAATGAAAGGAGGCTCTCTATCGTATCGTTCGTGTACGATGCCTTACAAAATGATGCATTGTTTCGATAAAGAAGATATGTCGCCTCCATAAATCTCAATTTATTCAACGTCTAAATACACCCCCAGAAAATTACAAGAAAAAAAATTCTTCTGTCGAAGAAATTATTTTTTCTATGATAATTACTAACTTAGTTAAATAGGCCTTGGATAGTTCGACTTTTTTCGATTTATTTTCAAAAAATGCGACTTTTCTTCCTCACGAACTTTTTTGCGTCTGGTTACATTATTTTTTATTTCTCGTTTAGGAAATATTTTCGAATTTTTTTTCCCGCAAAATTTAGATCAGACTTTTTTCTCTTCTCTGGTTTTGTATTTTTTTTTCTCACTATTATAGGTGTAAAATGTAACGGAATTTCAATTGTCGGAAATATTGTCGACTTGTGTGTGTTTGTGTTGGTTTGGCATTGACTCTGAAAACTTGTAATGTTCACGTCGCTGTGTAATGCATACTCTACGTTCTTTATACATAGCATTTCTATATAATCTCAGAAAAGGTTGAAGGTGAGAAAATTCCGATTTGCTTTCCCCCCTTTTTGAACGATCTTCATGTTGTGTGCTTATCTCCATTAAAGAAAGTATGAGTTTAAATTTTTCCTTCAAGTGTCTGTGGGAAACGCCAATATCAGACGGAAGTGCATATTACTGATACTTTCATTATCATTCATTGATGAAAATTCTCTTCTTAATGCTCTATTATTTTATACTGTTATCATATTTACGATTCGTGTAATTTTCAACACGATTCTCATAATGATTCGTAATTTTTAAGATAATTATTTTTTTTCCTGCAAATTGTTCTACTTCTGTTGTAAATCGACTGTTGTTAAAATAATCATAGGTAGAGGAATTGTTTTCGAATAATTTTTTTTCATTTTTATAAATTCTGATTGAACTGTAGGAAATGTTTTATTAATTAGAAAATAAAGACTAAAATAAAAATTAAAGAAGAAAAATAATAATTATTAAAAAAACGAAGAAAAAAAGGAAAACAAAAATTGTTTTTCTTTTTTTTAATTTTGCAAATTCAATTTGAAAAGTAGGAAATATTTTATCGATCAGAAAATGAAGATTAAGAATTAAAAAAATTATTTATATAATTAATTTAAAGAATTATGAAATAAAGATTAAAATAAGATTTTTTATTTCAGATTGCATGGGTCTTATGAAGCACTAAAGTACGGAACTTTACTGGATGGTTTATCAGATTTGACGGGAGGAATTACTGAAAGTATAACAATTCGTCAAGATCCCACGGCATGTGGTCGAGCCTTAACGAAACTTCTAGATATGACTTCCTTAATTACCTGCACTGTTAATAATAATCAGCAACAACAGCAAGTAAACAAATTAATTAAATTAAAAATTAAATAACAGCGTTGCCACAGGTTAAAAAAGTCAAGGAATTCAGGATGAAAAGAAATTGATCCAGGAAAATGTTAGAAATCCAGGGAAATGTCAGGAAATTTTATCAAAACCATACTGGAAAAACATCAAATTTCTAGAATTACTACAAAAATTTTAGTTCTTCGTGTTTAAAAACATTGTTGGATGACTTAAAAACTTTGAATTGTCCTTGACTTTTCTTTCACGATAAAAATTTTGAATCTCGAATTTTAAAACGATACTTTGATTTTTTCTTATTTCTGTAAATAAAATTCTTTGCAAAATTCAATTATTTTCATAAATAACAATATTCATCACAAGAATTCAATTATTTTTAAAAGTAATAAATTTGTTCTTGGAAATTCAATTATTTTTAAAAATTCTAATAAAATCGTTCGCAAGAATTCAATTATTTTCATAAAAAATAAAATGTTTTTTAGGAATTAAATTATTTTCAAAAAAATTTAATAAAATGCCACACATACATTCAATTATTCTCAAAAATTTCAATAGAATTCTTTGTAAAATTTAATTATTTTTAAAAACTTTTCGCAATTCAATGATTTTCAATATCTACTATTTTCATAAAATTTCCAAACAGAATTCAATTATTTAAAAAAATTTTTGTAAAAATCTTCGTAAGAATTCAATTTTTTGCATAAAATTCGACAAAAAAATCAATTATTTAACATTTTTTATAAAATTCTTCGCAAGAAGTGAATTTTCTAATACGAGTTTTTTTGGTCGTCAAGTTTAATTTTTCGATAGCTACTTTTTTACTACTTTTCTTAGTTTAAAAACTACATTTTGCTACTTTTTTAAAATTAATTATCGAGTGCGAAGTCTGCAACAAATTATTTAAGAATTAAAATTAAATTAAAATTAAAATTATAAGGATTAAAATGAAAAAATTTTTTTTTTCAAAAATCTTTCATATAATAATGAATAAATAATTGAGTTTTTTCAAATAATCACAATTAAATGAATTCAAATGTTTGTTAGTGTAACAAGCAGTATTAAAGAATCCAAAGTGCAACTAAAATAATTTATTTTTGAAAAAGTTAGAATTAAAATTTTGTTATTCAATTTTGAAAAAATTTTATTTAAAATTCTGAAATTTAATTTTTTAAAATATTTCTGTTTTGGATTTTTGAAGCAAATAAATGTAAAATATTATACCTAGAAAGTGATTAAAATTTTTTAAATAATTGAACTTTCCAATAATTAGATTAAAAGTAATTAAATTTTTTAAGAATTTAAATGAAATTTTTAATTTAACTTTTTGCTTATAAAAATTATCTTTTTTGTAATTTAACTCCCCTTGATTTTTTTTAAAAGAAATCAGGGGAAAAGATAGGTAAAAGTCAGGGGAAAATTTAATGAAATTTTTTGTAGCAACATTGAATAAGAATATTTTGAAAAAATTTCAAAAAGAAACTTTTTAATTGTAATATTTATTATTTTATTGTTTTAGTTCAACTAATGACGACAAATTTTTTTTCAGATTCGTACAAGTACAGAAAAGTTGGCTAACGGAATACAAATGGGAATAAATTATAGGCTCTACGCTATCGAAAGGGTTTGTAAAAATATATTAATAAAATTACTATATATTATTTAAATTACCAAACGAAAAATTTGAAAATCACTATTTGAATTCGTATTTTTTTTTTAATATACTTTTGTTTTACACCAATAGGTAGAAACTTTTAGTGGCGAGGCTGTGCAGTTAGTAAAATTGAGAAATCCTCTTGGACTTGGAGGAGAATATGTTGGTGCTTGGGCCCGTGGAGGCCTCGAATGGGATGAAGTTCCTCCTGCAGAAAGAGAACGACTGACTGTTCGAAATATGGCTGAAGGAGAATTCTGGTAATAAATTTAAAGTCATGACTTTTCACGCCCATCGTTTCACGTGCGCAGAAAAAAAAAGATTCTAAAAATATTATCCAATTAATAATACAGAAAAAAGAAAAAAGAAAAAATTCGTAAAAGCAGTTTATCTTCTATACTAAATTCACAAAGTTTAAGTACCAAGAAGCAATTGTGCATTAACATCGTTCGAGTTTTGTTGGTTTTATTTTCTTTTAAGAACAGGATTTAAAATTTTTATTTTTTACTGGGAGATTTATTATTATTATTATTTTATAACATGCGAAATTTTTATTTCACTATAAAATATTTTAATGTAGAGAGCAAATTTTGTATCTTGTTAGAAAGATAAGGAGTATAAAGTTTTGAAATAATTATATCCTTTTTTTTCTTGTAAATAGGATCTCGTACTCGGATTTTGTAAAAACGTTCACTCACCTTGAAGTCGTGCATCTTGACGCAGAAACTTCGAGGGACGAACCTTCATTGCACAGCAAGCACACTTGGCAGATGAAATTGTACCAGGGAAGTTGGAGAAGAGGCGTCACCGCTGGAGGATGTAGGAATAATCAAGGTGATTTTATAAAAATATTTCTATAAAATATTTTTTAGAAAACTTTTTCAGTAAAATATGTAAATATTTTCTTTTTCATTATTTCATCTCAAAAATATTTTTCCTTTTGTAGAAACATTTCACATAAATCCTCAACTGCATCTCATTCTCAGTGAAATGGAAGAAGTCATCGTATCTCTTAATCAACATTCAATTATGGAGCCGAAAGTAATTATTAATATAATAATGTAGATAAATTAATTCTTAATTGACTTTTACTTTTTTGGGACTATTTTCAAATTGAATTTACTCATTAATAATTTTTTTTTACAGGTGATTGGCTTTACAGCTTATACGCTGCCAAAAAATAGTACCGAGTCAATAAATAAGCAGTTCTTCAAGAAAAATAAGTCGCTGGTGAATTCGCAATATACAAATAGTCGACAAGTTAGTCACAGATGTCAATTGGAACAAGGTGGTTATTTGCTTGTACCAACAACTTTTGAACCAACTCAGGAAACAAGTTTTACACTGCGAGTTTACAGTAGTAAACCCTTAAAATTAAAGTAAGCATATTTAATTATATGCAGATTATAATTAACTAGCAAATGTTACACGCGAAACCGGGTATTCAATTTATTAATAAATTATGCAAATTGCACAAATTTTTTGTTTCAAATATAAACTTTGAGTTTTAAACTATTTTAGATTTGAAATTTTTTAAATTCACTTATTTAGTATATATAATTAATTATTACAGTTCATAATTTTCAAAAATGTTTTTAAATTCTTCGCAAGAATTCAATTATTTTCATAAATAAATAAATAAATAAATAACAAATAGAAAAAAGTAACATTCTTCCGAAGAATTCAATTATTTTTAATAAAATTTTAATAAAATTTCACGAAAGGATTAAGTTAGGATTTAAAATAAAAATTTTAATGAAATTTCTCTAAAGAGTTCAATTATTTTAAAAAATTTTATTAACATTTTTAAAAATAATTGAATTATTCTTCAAAGTTTTGATAAAATGTTTGATAAGAATTCAATTATTATCATAAATATTAAATAATAAATTTCTTTAGATGAATTTAATTGTTTTCAGTACATTTTTTATAAAGTATCTTGAAAGAATTCATTTAGTTTAAAAAATTGCAATAAAACTCAGGGCAGAATTCAATTATTAGGTATTATTTCCCAAAAATTTTAATAATATTCAAAAATAAAATTTTTAATTACAATTATTAATAGGCAAAAAACTTTATTTAAAATTTAAAAAAAATTGATTTGTTTCAAAGGATTTATTCAAATTTTAGAAAATAATTCAATTTTTTCAAAGAATATTATTAAAAATAAAAATAAATTGGAATTCTTTTATGAAATATTATTAAAAATAATTGAATTTTTGTAAAAATTTTTACTATTTATAAAAATAATTGAATTGTTTGGAAGGATTTATTAAAATTTTAGAAAATAATTGAATTCTTTTGAAAAATTTTATAAATAATTAGGAAAAAAAATTGAATTCCTTTGAAAAATTTTATTAAAATTTTTTGTTGAAAATAATTTAATTTTTGAAAAAATTTTACTATTTATAAAAATAATTGAATTCTTCCGAAGAATGTTATTATTTATGAAAATAATTGAATTCTTTTGAATAAATTTTTATAACGAATCAAGAAAAAAAAATTCTTTCGTGAAATTTTATTGAAAATAATTGAATTTTTGCAAAGAATTTTACTATTTATAAAAATAATGGAATTGTTTCGAAGGATTTATTAAAATTTTAGAAAATAATTAAATTCTTTTAAAAAATGTTATAATGAATTAAAAAAGAAAATTGAATTCTTTCATGAAATTTTATTAAAATTAAATGAAAATAATTTGAATTTTTGCAAAAAATTTTACTATTTATAAAAATAATAATGGAATTCTTCCGAAGAATCTTATTATTTTTGAAAATAATTAAATTCTTTCGTGTAATTTTATTTAAATAGGATTAAAAATAATTTAATCCTTGCAAAGAATTTAAGTATATTTATAAAAATAATTGAATTGTTTCCAAGAATTTATTAAAATTTTAGGAAATAATTGAATTTTATAGAAATATTTGAAAATAATTAAATTCTTTTGAGAAATTCAATTAAATTTGTTTTGAAAATAATTGAATTTCTGTAAAGAATTATATTATTTTTTGAAAATAATTGAATTCTTTCAATTTTTTGATAAATATATTTAAAACAAAATTGCATTGGAAGTAATTAAATTTTCATGTAGAATTTTTTAAAAATATTTTGAGAATAATTGAATTATTTTTATAGAATTTTAAATTTATTGTTGAAATTGAATTTTATGGAAATTTTTGAATATATAAACAATAATTCATTATGTAGTTAATAAGTGAATTTTTTAAATTTGCATTATGAAAAATTATTCAAAAATTTATATTTGAAAATAAAAAATTTTGTAATTTGCATAATAATAATAATAATAATAATAATAATAATAATAATAATAATAATAATAATAATAATAATAATAATAATAATAATAATAATAATAATAATAATAATAATAATAATAATAATAATAATAAAAATTGAATATCACGAGTAACATTTGCTAGGGATTATTAATATTTTAGAGATATTTGTCGTGATTTTAAAAAATAATTTTTGAATCATTTTCTTTATAGATTACTGGACACTCCGCCTTCTTTGATGAAGTCAGCGATTATCAAAGCTCCTATTCTTGAAGGCAAAGGATTTTCCCAATATGAAGCTGTATTTCTTCAACTCGCGGACGAACACAAAACAGTTAATGCTTTCGAACTTCAAGAACTTTTAGATGCTTGTTTACCAAATGGTAACTGTTCTTCTTGCATGATTTTTCAAAAATGGGAATTTTTCCTTTTTCTATATTTTTAATTTTTTTTCTTTCGTTTTTCAGATTACATTAAAAGTTGCGCTTGTATGGAAGTTTGTCGACAAGTAGTCTTGACAATGGATGTATCCTTTTTTGAAAAAATAGTGTAATTTTTGTTGTTTTAATTTGATTTATTTTTATTCACCGTCTTTAAGCCAGTTTTCGTTCAAGTAGACAGTTTTTTTCCTAATTTCTTCTATTATAAATTTATAATGTAAATTAATATTTTTTAAATATTTTATTATTATCTTGAAATTAAATGTTTTGTTTACATAAATAGATGTGAGCAAAAACTTTTTTTTAATTGTTATTAAAATAAAATTGAACTTGAACTGGAATATCAATGGTAACAAATATTTAGAATATTGTCAAATTGTATTTAGAACTTTGATTAATAAATTATTAAATAATTGTTAATATTGATTAATATTAATATTATTAATATTGATAATTAATAATTTGTTAATTGAACTAATAATAATTAATTAATACTTGTTTCAATGATGATTAATATTTATAATTCCTTAATATGAGAAATAATAGAGTACGAGTAGTGGTAGATTGAAATTTAGCGACTTTAAGGATTTAATGTGCAGTTTGAAGTATTGGCAAACGGCGTTTAAAAATCACACGAAAGAAAAAACTGGTATATTAAAGGCAGAAAGGCTTCGTGATGCACTACTCGAAGTTGGTAAGAAGTCTCTATGTTAATTCTCAACTAAATTAAATAATTTATAGTTTCTCGATATTTCTGAAAATATAAATTTATTTTATCTTATTTTAATAATTAATAATATAATTTTTAATATTTGCTTTTTGTTAAAACCATTTCTTTAATATTAGTTTTTACAATTACAAAATTGTTTTTTACAATTAAAAAATTATTTTTTACAATTTTCAAAATTATAATTTTAAGCCAAAGTATTTAGGCCTTTTATAAAATAATTATTAAAATTATTAAAAAAAATATTATTAATATTTAATAATGAAATAATAATTGTAATATAATAATGATAATATTTCACAGGTTTCCAATTAAACACAGATGTACTGTCGATTCTTATCCTTCGATATATGAGGAAGGACGGAACTCTAAGATTCGGCGATTTCGTTTCAGCAATTTTACACTTGAGCGATGCTTTTGGTAATAATTCAAAATGTTTAAAAAACGAAAAAGAGACTAAAAAGTCTAAATAGAAATTTAGATGAATTTTGAAAGTAAAATTAAAAATTTTTTTTTTTTGAAATATTGAAAATTCTAAATTAAATTTAGTTAGTTTAAAAATTAATGGGATAATTAATAATTATTAATAATTTATTCCGATAATTGTCAATATAATTAATTGCCTTTTTACAAATATTAATCAATAATATTTAATTATGTTTACTTAACAAATTTTAGGTATATTTGAAAGCAAAGATCCATTGCAAAATGGAAGTATCAAACTTAGTTTGGCAGAGGTAAGAGATTAAAAAAAATGATTCATTGACTTTAATTTATGCTGTAATATTTTTTTACTAATTCGAATTCTTTCTAATTTTTAGTGGCTGCGATCGTCCATTATGTGCTGAGATTGTCAACGTGATTTTTGTATTTGTTTAGAATATTTTGTATATATTGTTTTACTGCATCATTTTTTTACTGTTAAGATTAAGCCATATTAAAGTTAATTTTTATTCACATTGTTCATTGTAAAATAATTTCATCGCTTATAAAATCATAAACATTTTTTTTTTTAATGAATCAAAGATGTATACAATTAATGAATGTATAAACAAATTAAGCTGATTAATAAAATTAAGTATTGTTTTTATACTTTTACTTTTTTATTGTAAGAAATAAATTGTTGTTCATTTCTATAACATTTATTACCAATAGAGAAATTATTTATAATTCCCAATATTTATTATCAATAAATAAATTTTTTTATTTATTTATTATTATATTTTTGATAAAATTAAGTATTGTTTTTTTACTTTTACTTTTTTATTGTAAGAAATAAATTGTTGTTCATTTCTAACATTTATTACCAATAAATGATATTGTTCATAATTTATTTATCATCAATAAATAAAGTTTTTTTCATTTGTAGTCTAATTTTTAGTATTTAAGCAGATTTCGAATTTCGAATTTTCAAAAATTTATTTATTTATTATTTATTATTTACTTATTCAAATTAAAATTTGAATTTTCAAATTGTTATGTTGGTAGTAATGTACAATATTTAGAAATTTGTTTTTCTTGTATTGGCATTACTACTTATTGCGCATGCGCAGCGTCTGAGCATCACCGTCAGCCTCAGGAAGAAAATAAATAGGATAAATAGCTTGGTCGCTTTAAAATTATTAAATTTAATCAGATCATTTATATTTTTATGAGTTATTGTTATTGATTTTGTTCAAGTTTGAGTAAGGAATCGTTTTTTCATAAAAGTTTGATAAATAGTAGAAGAAAAGAAAGTACATTTTCTGAAAACTTTTTCGACAAGAAGGTAACCTCAAAATCTTTGTATTAAACTCGTAAATCTAATTAAATCATAATTATCATAATTATATTTTAGTATTTGTTAATTGTTATAAATATTTATCAGTAATTTGATTTAAGTTAAATTGAAGAATCGAAATTTTATAAAAGTTTGATAAAAAGTAGATGAAAAATAAGCAGATTTAGTGAAAACCGTGAAAACTTTTTCGTCAAAAGGATAACCTCAAAATCTTTGTATATACAAATTAAATTAATGCTATTTCGTACTTTATTTATAGGATTATTTAAATAATGTTAGAATTTTAATTAAATAGCATTATTTATTTATTTCGTTTTCTCCCTTAAAATCAAATTATGAAGAGTTTAATATTTTTTCAGCATATAAAATTATTGTTTGCTTTTGTCGAGAGAATCGATTATTGGCAAACATAAAAAATGACAATATTGATGAATAATTCCAATTATTATTATTATGCAAATTATGTACATTTTTTTATTTCCAAATATAAATTTTTGAATAATTTTATAATCAAAATTTAAAAAATTCACTTTTTTAGTACATAAAGAATTATTATTGTTTACATTTTCAAAAATTTTAATATCATTTTTATAGCAAGAATTCAATTAATTTTATAGAAAGTAAAATTTTTTGCAAAAATTCAATTGTTTTCAACAAAATTTTAATTAAATTTCACGAAAGAATTCAATTAATTTCTAAATTTTTAATAAATCCTTCGAAACAATTGTATTATTTTTTTAAGTAAGTAAAATTCATCGCAAGATTAAAAAGATTGATTAACAAAAGAAATTGTTCATAAAATTCAATTACTTTCAAAATTTTCAATTAAAATTGTTAAAGAAATTCGATTATTTAAAAAAAATTCAAACAAATTCTTCAAAAGAATTTAATTAAGATTTTAAAAAATTATAATGAAATTTTTCGCGAGAATTTTCTTATAAAATTCTTATGCAGGAATTAAATGATTTTCGATACTTTAATTTTAAAATTGGAAATAATTGAAAAGAAAAATTAAGTAACAAAAAAATTAGGAAACAAAAAAGCAAACAGCAACTAAATTTAAACTGCTAACAGATTACCGGAAGACAACGATTATTAATATAGATTTGAACTTGATTTGTAGTGAGTGATGAATTCAACGTGCGCCTTGAATTTCCATTGGAGTTGAGAATTTTTTTCAAGGAAATGCAGAAAGAGAATATGTAGCTGAAGCAAAAACTTCAAATCAATGTCGACGGAGATGATCATTGGTGAGTCCCTCTTATCTCCAGTATTGTGTCGGAGCTAAGTTGTAATATTTAGAATATTTCTTAGCGATTAATATTTTATTAACAAATAAATTATTTGAATGTCATTTATTGTTAAAAAAAAGGTAAAAATTTTCTGATCGAAGAGAATTTAGTTTAGGTTTTCAACAATAGTTGATTTTCTCGCACTTTTAGCTGACAAAAAAGTAGTGTGCAATTTTTTTTCTTCTTTTAAAAGCCAATTATTTTCGAATGATTGACTTTTCATATTTTTGTCACTATGTGATTTTCTCCTATCCCCACAACCAATTTATTTTATTCTCTTAAAAGTTTTTTATAATTAAAATTTTATTGAAAATTGATTAAAAATTAGTTATTTGTTTCAATTTTAATTGAAACAAATTTTAATTAAATAATAATTTTAATTTAATAAAAAAATAAAAAAATTTTTTTTACGCAGTAATTAATTTTGAATGGAAATATTTTCTTTGTAAAAAGGCAAAATTATTTTATGATTGCAATCTTATTTTTATGACAATTGCAACAAATTTAAAAAAAAATACTTTAAAAATTTTCGATTTAATTAAAAAATATAAAATAACTGAATAATTTAGAGGGTTGCTACAGGTTAGGGAATTCAGTAAAAAGTCAGGAAAATACAGTTTTTCAAAAAAATTCAATTATTTAAAACAAATTTTGATAAAATTTTACGAAAATATTTAATTATTTTCATAAATAATAATAATATCCCAGGAATTCAATTATTTACAAATTTGTTATAAATTTCTTCGTAATAATTCCATTACTTTCAAAAACCATACAATTTTTTACAGAGATTCAATTATTTTCGTAGGTAATAAAATACTTCATAGGAATGCAATTATTTTCATAAATAATTTAACATTCTTCGGAAGAATTAAATTATTTTTATATATAGTAAAATTTTTTGCAAAAATTCAATTATTTTCAACTTACAATATTTCACGAAAGAATTTAACTATTTTCAAAAATTTCCATAAAATTCAATTTCAATAAGAATTTAAAAAGAATTTAATTTAATTAAAAATAATTCAATTATTCTCAAAATATTTTTAAAAAATTCTATATGAAAATTTAATTACTTCCAATGCAATTTTTAAATATATTCGTCAAAAAATTGAATGAATTCAATTATTTACAAAAAATAATAAAATTTTTTACAGAAATTCAATTATTTTCGAAAATAATAACATTTTTCGGAAGAATTCAAATATTATTTTTATAAATAGTAAAATTATTTGCAAAAATTCAATTATTTTCATTCAATTTTAATAAAATTTCACGAAAAAATTTAAATTTTTCCTAATTCGTTATAAAATTTTTCAAAAGAATTTAATTATTTTCTAAAATTTTAATAAATCCTTCGAAATAATTCAATTATTTTTATAAATAGTAAAATTCTTTGCAAAAATTCATTTATTTTCAATAAAATTTCACAAAAGAATGTTTTTTTTCTTAATTTGTTATAAAAATTTATTCAAACGAATTTAATTATTTTCATAAATAATAACATTCTTCGGAAGAATTCAATTATTTGTATAAATATTAAAGTTTTTTTGCAAAAATTCAATTATTTTCAACAAAAAATTTTAATGAAATTTCACGAAAGAATTTAATTTTTTTTTAATTCGTTATAACATTTTTCAAAAGAATTCAATTATTTTCTAAAATTTTAATAAATCCTTCCAAACAATTCAATTATTTTTATAAATAGTAACAATTTTTACAAAAATTCAATTATTTTTAATAATATTTCATAAAAGAATTCAAATTTCTTTTTATTTTTAATAATATTCTTTGAAAAAATTGAATTATTTTCTAAAATTTTAATAAATCCTTTGAAACAAATCAATTTTTTTTTAATTTTTAATAAAATTTTTTGAAAGAATCCAGCTATTTTCTAAAATTATAATAAATCCTTCGAAACAATTCAATTATTTTTTATAACTAGGAAAATTCATCGTAAGAATTAAATTATTTTTTATAAACAATGAAATTCTCCTCAGAAATTCAATTATTTTCAATACAATTTTAATAAACTTCAATAATCAAATATTTAATTACAATTATTAACAGACACGATTATTTTAAAAAGTTGAAAAAAATTCTTTTCTTTTGAAAAAGTTTAATTGAATTTTTAAAAAAAATATTTGATGTTTTTATTTTCTAATATATAATTGAAGAATTTCTAAATAAACGAAATTTCGTGTAACATTGAATTGGCAATTAGATTTGAAAATTATTAAAAAACTATTTTAAAAATTATTTAAAATAATTGATTTAAAGAAAAATTTTAGTTAAAGATTCTAAAAAAAATAATAATTGAATTGAATTAATGAAAATAATTTTGAAGAAGTTACAGTAACAATATTCTTATAGAATATAAAATAATGATTTTATCACTCGGTCATATTTAATTATTATAAAAAATGAAGAAATCGATCACTCCGAGTCGAGGACTCGGAGCAATCGATTTCTTCATTTTTTCATAAAAATTTAATTAATTAATTTTTCATTTTTTCTTAAAAGTTATTGAATTTTAAAAAGTTTAAATTTGAATCTTTCGAAGTATTTTAATTTCTATGGAAAAATAATATTGATGAAATATTTATTTAAAAAAGAAGTTATTGTTTTCGAATAATTTTACAAATTGGAGAAATTCGTATATAAATGTAATAGAACATTTTATTATATTTTTTTTGAGAATCTATTTTTTAGAGTGAATCAGAATATTTTTTAGGGTCAAGGGAAAAAGACAAAATTTTGTTTGGAAATCAGGGAAAAAGAGAATTAAATTTTTGTAGCAACCCTGATTTTATTAGAGATTTAATTTAGTTTAGTTTAAGATTTATAATTTAATGAAATTAAAAGCAATTGATTAAATCTTTTTGTTTTTGAGAAAAGAAAATTGGTTCTTAAATTGTTTATTAATTCGCTGTATTGTGAACAAACATTTTTGAAATATTAGAAAATCATGACAGAAAAGTAAAAAGAAAACATTTCGTTTATAGGTGATGAGGACGAGG